ATAATTAATAAATTAAATTTAATACTTGCAGAAACAACCACGGAAAGAAGCAGTCATCAGCATTTGACAAACACTTTTCCTCAAATATCAAAACCTTTTATTGGTTAAGAATTTCTTGATGTATACATGTCTTAAGCTTCCATACAGTGAAAACATATTCTTCTATTTTACTCATTATCTCTGTGCATAAAATTATGACACTCTAGTTGTTTTATACACTGTATTGAACTGTGGGAAACTCATTCTCCTATCTAAACAGTGCTAAAAACTAGAGGAAATGATCACCCTTTTAGAAAGAACAATTTTTGCCCCTTCCCTCCAATGCTTGTATGAATCAGTTGCCTGTAAGAATATAAGGTGATGCCTTTGTCTTTAATGAGCTGGATCTAATAAGAAAATGAGCCAGCCAACTCCTCTCCTCTTGCCCCTCAACTTTTACCTACAAATGAAGTCACTACTGTCCATTATTTCACACGTTACACATCCAGAACAGAATGTTGAAGCTTCTGAAGATCATGCATCTAATTGATATGAGGGGTTTTGGAAATAATGGATACTTACACTACAATGCATAAAAGAGCCTGTGCTTGGTTTCTTATCTCTTCCCTTCACTGCTGTATCACCAGTATGGCTTTTTGGAGCACCATCTGTGGGAGGACTGACTGAAACAGTGTCGTTCTCTAAGAAGGATTCACCTTCTGGTAACATGCAGAGGAGAGCTAAATTTTTCAGCCCTGAAAGCAAGAAAGTTATAAAAGCTGTTTAGCTGTTGAGTGACATGATTCGTAAAAAGCAGAAATGAAATATTTTGAAAGAGAACTGCAAGCTTCCCCTCGCACATTTCTTTTGAATATCAACTCCAGCAAAAAGATGTTCCTCACCATGATCACTTAATCATGTAGTTCCATTAAATAATAGTGATGAAAAGGTGGTGACATTTTACACCTCACAAAGAGACCACCAGGGTAGAAGTCTTAATTAATTTAAGAAAGTGTTAGAGATACTTTTCATAATTTACACTGTTGGGAGGTAAGTGAAATCTGTCTTAGCTTTTAATCCTCTCATCACTTAAATATTTGTACAATAAAATTGTACATTAAAAACCAAGCAGATTAAATAATGACTATGCGTAATGATTTGGTGGTGACATTTCAGCTGTATTGGAGCTACTCAAAAAACCTACCAGTAAACTTATTCGAACTTGAGTCTAGACTTTTTGATACACTCAACACAGGTCTCTATTGTATCACTCTATTTTCTGTAATAGGTCTTAGTAGTTCACAGAAATCCTCATTTCCAGGCAAAGGGTCACCATCTCCAGAAACTTATCTCATACCACAAATAAGGTTAAAAAATTCTTGCCCAAAGATGCAGAACAAAAAACATTTTCCACCAAGTCATGTGCTTTCCTTCAAGTCCTTCAGTTGTCAGCAACAGTTAGTAGCAGAACATAAAGCTATATTGATTGATAGCTTTACAAGATCTAAGATGGAAAAAAACCCTAACCAGAGAGTTGCCAAGTTGTCTTCAATATTTATATAAGCATAAAATTAATTTTCTCAAGCACCCTATATTCCATATTTTAGTGATCTTGAACAACACTCGTTCTACATTTCTACATAAACAGTTATTCTCAGTGAAGTACACAGTAGCTTCCCCTTTCCTTTGGAAACTTCTAAGTGAGTAATCACAGACTTTTCTGACACTTGTTAGAAATCATTGTCTCAGTGATGGAGGAGCTGACTCACCTTTTCCGTGCTGCGCTTTCATCAAGCAGTCTCCGATGAGCTGTATGCACTGATGCTGCAGAACTCTGGCATGAGTGAGGACCTGTGAATCTAGTTTCTCTCCTTCTACTTCCTCCCCATTTGCCAGATCTGCACTGTAGAGAGTCAAAGCTGCAAACAACAGCCAGGAGTAATTGTGGACATACGGCTGGATGAGCCTGTGTCGGTCACTGATTCGAATCGTCACCATTGGATACACTGTGATGCTGTGAGTGGGCAAGTGACTGAAAGAAGAAGGGATATAATTTTGAAACTCAGCCGCTTTCTTGCTAACCAATGTCGTTAGCAACACATGACACCATTACAGGAAACGATGGAAAACCCAACACATTCCAGAGTTTCAAACTATAGACCTGTTTTTAAAGATCTTTGGTGTCAAGCACTGAAACCTATGTTGTCTAACCACAGCACTGTTCATTTCTTCTGTCCTCTCATTTGGGGTTGGTAACTCTCCTGCAACTTTCACAGCCATGGCTAGAAAACAATTGCTACTAAATTACTTCAAAGGTTGGGGCAGCTTTCCAAACTGCAGAAATTTTTGCTGAACTGGTCCTATATTTGCTATATTTCCCCAAAGGACATCAACTAGATGTTCTGATTCAGGAACGACCTTGTAAGAATCAACACTAGAACGACTGATTGTACTTAGTTGCTAATTATCACTTTAACCCCCGCAGTGAAGTGGAAACAAAATCACATGTTTAATACCTGTCAGAGTATTTCTTTGCAGAATAGCATCCATAGCAAAGGTCAAAGTCATCACAAACGTTACAGTTCATTCTCCGACCTATGATAACTCCTTGACAGTGATCACAGGCATACTCCATGTTAACCATTTCATGGTCATCCTCATGTCCTTCAGGTTTAACTCCACCTGTAAAGAAATATTTTAAGATTTCCCTGTAAATCCTTTTTGATAAAGGATCTTTCTTAATTTCAAGTTCACATTCGGATTAGGAAAAGAAACGCTTAACATTTCTACAATATCCAGGGGAAAAGTCTTTCACTTTATGTATAATTTAGAAGACACTATTTTGTCTTCGAGTATAGGGTATTGAGGAGTTTTTAATGATTCTTACCAAGAAAGCAAGTTTTACACAGATCCATGTCATTGCACTGCAGACAGCGGTAGCGATGCCAAGGTGCAATTTCATCACAGCCATCACAGGATATGTCCACATTTAACAGGTCACAGTAACGAGCAACAAACATGTGCATCTAGAGCAATAAATGGACACAATTTTTTTGAGTATTATTATCACTTTGAGAAAGCTCTTTTTAGACAGAAAGCAGAACACTTCCCCTGCCAAAAAAGATGGGGATTTCTACATCATTTTAGACTTCTGAAGGCCTACAGGGAGCCAGGGATCCAACTCATGAAAAATCAGTTTAAGTCAGATTCCTTTTTCTCCTTTAGGCTTTTAAAAGTCTCCTATTTACCCCTTCTGCAGATAAATAAGCAAATCATAACGTCACCTTTCTCTGCTTCTCTGGGTCAGCTTGAGCTATCTTTTCATACCAGGTCTCAAACATTACATCTTGACATTCATCCATCCACTCACAGTTTTGCTTATAGTCTGCAATTTCATCTTCTTCACTCCACTGACTAAAAGAAAAGCAAGCTCAAAATTAAGTTTGAATGCAATGACGCTTTCCTCTAACATAAATTGGGATACTTTTTTTTTTTAAAGAACAAAGTGCTATAACATGCTAATAAAAACCAGTTCACTTGGTTAATAAAGGGCCATATAGATACCTGCTTCTTGCCTCTGTGACAAGTTCTTAAATATAGATGGGGACCATAATGCAAAAATCAGAAAAATCTACACTTACAAAACTGCTTCTGGTAATGCTGGCAGGTCAGATAAGACATTTTTAAAGCTTTTTGGCCTTCACGTTTGCTCACGCGTAAGAAATACAACTACTATAAAATTGCAACATGCAGGTGCTAAAAACATTTGATATTTATCAAGACAAGAAACAGCATTATCTACCTCCTGCTACACTGCTAAACAAGTGAAATGTTCCAGCAGTAATCAGGTTAAAGATGAAATTTTAATAGTTTTTGCACTAGTAATGCTGCAAAAAATTTCAAGCACTTCAGTAAAGCCCTTGAATGTTGGCCAAAATTATGTCATACTTGTTAATAGTACTTCTACTGCTTGTTTCAGCCCAAAGTTCAGGAGCCTTTCTTGGTAAAAATGGGATCAATAGTTAGTACCATGTGAAAATTGCATTTTTCCTGACTCACCAAATCACACTGTCATGAATACTTATGTTTTCTTGTGATGTAGTCATAAGAAGATGTGGTAACTGAATCTCAACAAAGAAGGCAAGATCGCTTGGTTCCCAACTCATATCCAAAAGGTGAAGGAGAGTTGTCTGCACACATGATAAGGCAGGAAGCAACGATCTAAATAAAAACACAAGACAATAAAACACGACAGCTCTAACCTGAAGCTAAAATAGCATATTTGGGGAGCAAGGGCGGATAATCACTGTACACTGATTTCCAGGCTTTACTCTGCATTAAATCATGTGGCAGAAACTCAAGTTTACTAACACGTAAACTTACAAAATTTACCAAGAAGCATAGACAATACAATTTGAATAAATATCCTGTCCTCTATGGATCCAGCTGAAACAGAGCTTATGCTATAGTCTGAATATTAGCAAGAGGGTCCATCTCTTCCTATTTTCAGGAATTTGTTCTCTTTGAAGCCTTTGCCATGTTCAGTTGAAACCGGACAAACGATTTGGGAGTTAGTAGTAGGGAAACGGACACTATAGTAACAAAATTCTCACCCCTTTAGGGCACCTGGCTATAAATCCCAAGAATTCCAACTGGAATATTACCAAAACATGAGCTTTAACATTAAATCATGGCTGCAGAATTGTAGAATCTATTTTGGCATCACTCTTGCTAAAGTATCCTACAATATATTTGCTAATTTTAATATTTTCCTGCTAAGCTTCAGAAACACATTGCAGAATTATAACTACAATATGCAGTAAGTCAAGGTTTTAACAATGATAAATTTATCGTGCTTTCCTGCATAGTATTAATAAAAAGGTAACTTGGCATTTTTGATCACAAGATTAGGGCTCCTCATTTAGTTCTATAAATAATGCAAAGTATAGTCAAACTTAATTAAGGAATTAAACAATAAACAACAAATGACATGGGATGAGATGAGGAAGAAAAGAAAAAAACCATAAATCTCACATAAGTAATGCAAGCAATGTACTGTACCTGTCATTAATTGTACTAAACCCTTTCACAGAATTTACCAGGAACAAAACAAGCTGATAGTAGGACTCTCGAATCTCTTTGTGTAGCTCAGCACCACAGCCTTCCAAGTTTCCAAAGTAGCTAGAAATTAAAGAATCAGTTTAGTAGTCTAGAACTCACTGCTACATATTGGGTAGCATGGTTTGTGCAAATTTTACAGACAATCTTTTAAACACTCCCCACCAAGTGGGAAGGATGTTAGTTTTTTTTAAAATGCAGTCTGCCACTTTCAAATAAAAAAGAAACCTGTACCAGGAATCAGCAGTTAAGAAATAAAACAGGCAAAGGGATGCCATCCAGAGGGACCTTGACAGGCTGGAGAGGTGGGCCTGTGAGAACCTCATGAAGTTCAACAAGGCCAAGTGCAAGGTCCTGCACGTGGGTCGGGGCAATCCCAAGCACAAGTACAGGCTGGGCGGAGAATGGATTGAGAGCAGCCCTGAGGAAAAGGACTTGGGAGTGCTGGTGGGTTAGAAGCTCAACATGAGCCGGCACCGTGCGTTGGCAGCCCAGAAAGCCACCCGTGTCCTGGGCTGTATCAAAAGGAGCGTGGCCAGCAGGTCGAGGGAAGTGATTCTGCCCCTCTACTCTGCTCTCGTGAGACCCCACCTGGAATACTGTGTTCAGCTCTGGAGTCCCCAACACAAGAAGGACACGGAGCTACTGGAGGGGGTCCAGAGGAGGCCATGAAGATGATCCGAGGGCTGGAGCACCTCTGCTATGGAGACAGGCTGAGAGAGTTGGGGCTGTTCAGCCTGGAGAAGAGAAGGCTCCGGGGTGATCTTATAGCAGCTTTCCAGTACCTAAAGGGGGCCTACAGGAAAGCTGGAGAGGGGCTTTTTACAAGGGCGTGTAGTGATAGGACACGGGGCAATGGCTTTAAACTGAAAGAGGGGAGATTTAGATTGGATATAAGGAAGAAAATTCTTCACTCAGAGGGTGGTGAGGCAGTGGAACAGGTTGCCCAGAGAAGTTGTGGATGCCCCATCCCTGGAGGTGTTCAAGGCCAGGTTGGATGAGGCTTTGGTCAACCTGGTGTAGTGGAGGATTTCTCCGCCCCTGGCAGGGGGGTTGGAACTAGATGACCTTTAAGGTCCCTTCCAACCCAAACCATTCTATGATTCTAATATTCTCATGGCACTAAGGAAAGAACCTTCCTAAAAATTTAAAAGGTGCTTTACAAAAATCTAATCAAGATCTTATAGGAAATCAGTGTACTTCAAGATGACCATAAAAAGCTCTTGACAAGTGAGAAACCAGCCGACAGAGTTCAGCCACACGATAGAAATCAGACCTAAACTCATGAACCAGAACAGCATAGTACTAGCTCCTGCTTTGAGATAGTGCTTTCTAGCTGTAAATAAGGAAAAAAACCTTCCAAATTATCTCTCCTTACTAAGAACCATTGCACATGCATATAATTGATAGGATATTTTTGCCTTTTTTTTTTTTTGTATGTATGTGCGCATGCCCTATAACTGGTCCATAGCTAATATCACTGCAGACCTCAGCTTGCGTGTCCATCACTTTAGCCTCTGGCACATGAGTGGAATATATCACCCCCATCATAAAACTTGTCTTGTACAGGCATCACATCTGAAGTTACGAAAAATCATGAACAAGCAAACCCTTGACTAACCAGACATAACATGCACCATTCTTGGAAGTTAGTTCTTCTGCCAGATAGGTATTATTTTGATTTACAAAGTCAGTTCACAAAAATTCTAAAGATGCAATGCAACAAAAGTAATTAAAAGTTAAATGGGTTAGATCACTAAAGTTTTACTGGATGAGAAAGAAACCAATCTATAATTAGAAAGGAACTTAAACTAAAGCAATAACTGAAGTCTCTACAGTCTTTTTGAGTTTGTTGTGATCTGGTTGGATCTGTAAAGATGTTTCTGGGTATCCACGCTGTGATTCAATTGCATGATGCCCACTGGCATGATGAACAGCTGTACAACTAAGTTCTACTTGAAAATAATCACTGTTTCTTTTAAAAGGAAGCATGCAAGATATGCATAGTAGACTAAAAACTAATCCTAAAATCATATTTTTATTACCCACATGGATTAAAACCCAGTAACTTTCTACTGTTTTCAATATACATGACTGGGAGAACACAAGGGCTAAGACATTAAATCACACGGCTAAGACGTGTCTAAATAATTACTTACTTTGTAAAATCTTTCTGACAGGCTAGAAGTTCTAAGAGAAAAAGTACACACGGTGGGTGAAAACAGTGTGGCTGTCCAAGTGAGTCTAGGCACTGGCGGATTGTCTTGAGCACTTCCATAATATTCTGCCCTTGGGATTTTCTCAAAGCAAGAACCTTTAAAACACTAAGAAGAGCAAAAAAAAAAAAATCTATGACAACTTCAAAACACTGTGCTTAAAATAATCCAAATAAATTGTAATTCAATAACTACTTGACTAGTTAAACAAGAGTTTGGTATCTAAATTCTCAATTGTATTTCAGCAGTGGGATATTGCAGTTGGAGTGAGTGATAAAGCTTTAACCAGAATTTAGCACTTCCTCTGCCAGTCCAAGTTTTAGAGCCTAAAATAGACAAGCTGAGAATTGGAAATCTCTCCTTTGATTTACATTTTCAGAATACCAAGTAATTTAATAAGAGATGCAACTACTCTGTATTTGGCGTCAAGGATTTCTAGTACTGCTATACCATGTCTTCACTGTTTGTAGATAAGAAGTGAAATGCCACTGCAAACAGACCTCAAGAAGACAAGAAACAGTCAAGTAATTGTTTTCCACATTCAGAAGTTCTACCTGATGGAAGTGAATC